CAGTACCCACGTAGGATTCAAGTTAAAACAAAAACCAGGGCGCAGCGCCTCCCCCCAACAGAACAGTATAGGTGGGCCGTATCATCCACCTTTGTGGCGTTGTCACAGCACGGAAGCACAGCAAGCATGTTGGCTGGTTGCCTGGTTGGTTGGTTGTTTGGTTGCTTGGCTGGTTCGCTTCTTCGCTGTCTTGGTTGTAGTCGTTTGGTGTGTGTGTGTGTGCGTGCGTGCAACCGAACCAAAATAACAAAAGGTTGACAAAACAAGAGCCATACATGTGGCCTCCCCCTGGAAATGCATCGGGCACCAGTGCCATGTTCCTGAAAAAAGCACCAACGCGCCTCCCCCCGCAAAGCGTCACATGAGTGGTGTCTACAGGATTACTCTATACCTCTCTTGAGCCTTGACAGCGTATATAAATATGCTCAATACTCATGCAGTACCCGCGTAGGATTCAAGTTAAGACAAAAACAAGGGCGCAGCGCCTCCCCCCAACAGAACAGTATAGGTGGGCCGTATCATCCACCTTTGTGGCGTTGTCACAGCACGGAAGCACAGCAAGCATGTTGGCTGGTTGCCTGGTTGGTTGGTTGTTTGGTTGCTTGGCTGGTTCGCTTCTTCGCTGTCTTGGTTGTAGTCGTTTGGTGTGTGTGTGTGTGTGCGTGCAACCGAACCAAAATAACAAAAGGTTGACAAAACAAGAGCCATACATGTGGCCTCCCCCTGGAAATGCATCGGGCACCAGTGCCATGTTCCTGAAAAAAGCACCAACGCGCCTCCCCCCGCAAAGCGTCACATGAGTGGTGTCTACAGGATTACTCTGAAATACTCTATACCTCTCTTGAGCCTCGACAGCGTATATAAATATGCTCCATACTCATGCAGTACCCACGTCGGATTCAAGTTAAAACAAAAACAAGGGCACAGCGCCTCCCCCCAACAGAACAGTATAGGTGGGCCGTATCATCCACCTTTGTGGCGTTGTCACAGCACAGAAGCAAACCAAGCATGTGGGCTGGGTGGCTAGTTGGCTGGTCAGTTGCTCGGTTGCTCGGTTGCTTGGTTGGTTCGCTTTATATGTTTGGTGTTTTCAACTATAACCAAAGTAACTCAACAAGAGCCACATGTTTGGCCTCCCCCCTGGAAATGCCTTGGGTCACATGATCATGACACATTCATTCGCAATGTAGGTGGGCCTTATCATCCACCTTTCTGGCGTTGTCACAAGCCGCGGGCAGGGCTTTCAAATATAAAAAGGCGGGAGGGGGGCGCGGGGGGACTCCCCCCGCAAAGCGTCACATGGTCATGATACATTCATTCGCAATGTAGGTGGGCCTTATCATCCACCTTTCTGGCGTTGTCACAAGCCGCGGGGGGGGGGTTAAATAAAAAGGCGGGAGGGGGGCGCGGGGTGAGGGCGCAGCGCCTCCCCCCGCAAAGCGTCACATTAGTGGTGTCCACAGGATTACTCTATACCTCTCGTGAGCCTTGACAGCGTATATAAATATGCTCAATACTCATGCAGTACCCACGTAGGATTCAAGTAAAAAAAAAACAGGGCGCGGCGCCTCCCCCTTGCAAAGCGTCATCATGGTCATGATACATTCATTCGCAATATAGGAAAGATAGAATAAAAAGGAAAAGATAGGATAAGATAGGGTAAGATAGGAAAAGATAGGGTAAGATAGGGTAAGATAGAGTAAGATAGGGTAAGATACATAGAAAGACAAATAGATAGATAGAAAGAAAGATAGATTGATTGATTGATTGAGATATAGATATAGACATAGACGTAGGTGTAGATGTGGAGCCGAAGGAGCCATAAGAGCGAAAAGCCACAGGAGCCGAAGGAGCCATAGGAGCCGAAGAAGCCAGAGGAGCCGGAGGAGCCACGTACCAAAGAAGCTAAAAGACAAGCAGCCAGAAGCCAAAAAGCCAAGAAGCCACGAAGCCACCAGGAGCCACCAGGGACACAGGAGCCGAAGGAGCCACAGAAGCCAGGAGCCACACAGGGAACTATAGGAGCCACCAGGAACCAAGGAGAAAAAAAAAGAAACAAATTAAATTACCCTCCCTCATTTTTTTGGGGGTCCTTAATGTTTCCTTGCTAACTTCCAACAATCTCCCGATAACATGGGTTTCGTTTTTGGTCCTAAAATAGCCCGTCTACCACTGGTCAGGTACATCCTTTCATTCGAAAGCTAGCTTGTATTTGTAAAGAATGGCAATTTGTATGCTTCCTTCCCTGCTTTTCCTCCTTCATTTCCTCCTTCCTTTCTTTTCCTTCCCTCTTTCCTTCCCTCTTTCCTTCCCTCTTTCCTTCCCTTCTTTCCTCTTTCCTTTCCTCTTTCCTTTCCTCTTTCCTTTCCTCTTTCCTTTCCTCTTTCCTTTCCTCTTTCCTTTCCTCTTTCCTTTCCTCTTTCCTTTCTTTTCTTTTCCTTTCTTTTCCTTTCTTATCCTTTCTTTTCCTTTCTTTTCCTTTCTTTTCCTTTCTTTTCCTTTCTTTTCCTTTCTTTTCCTTTCTTTTCCTTTCTTTCCCTGTCTTCCCCTCCTTCCCTCCTTCCCTCCTTCCCTCCTTCCTTCCCTCCTCCCTCCCTCCCTCCGTCCTTCCTTTCCTGCTTCCTTTCCTTCCTTCCTTTCCTTGCTTCCCTTCTTTCATTCCTTCCTTCCTTTCCTTGCTTCCCTTCTTTCCTTCCTTCCTTCCTTTCCTTGCTTCCCTTCTTTCATTCCTTCCTTCCTTTCTTGCTTCCTTTCTCTCCTTCCTTCCTTCCTTCCTTCCTTCCTTTCCTGCTTCCCTTCTTTCATTCCTTCCTTCCTTTCCTGCTTCCCTTCTTTCCTTCCTTCCTTTCTTGCTTCCTTTATCTCCTTCCTTCCTTCCTTCCTTCCTTTCCTGCTTCCCTTCTTTCCTTCCTTCCTTCCTTTCTTGTTTCCCTTCTCTCCTTCCTTCCTTCCTTCCTTCCTTCCTTTCCTGCTTCCCTTCTCTCCTTCCTTCCTTCCTTCCTTCCTTTTCTTTCCTTTATTTAAATTTCTTTTTGATGATTTAATTTTTTTTGATGAATTAATTTTTTTTGATGATAATTATTTTTTTTGATGGTCCTCCCGTAGTAGTAGTAGTAGTAGTAGTAGTTGTTGTTGTTGTTGTTGTTGTTGTAGTTGTTGTTGTAGTTGTAGTTGTTGTTGTTGTTGTTGTTGTTGTTGTTGTTGTTGTTGTTGTTGTTGTCGTAGTTGATAGTGTGATTGGTGTGATTGGTGTGATTGGTGTGATTGGTGTGATTGGTGTGATTGGTGTAGTGAAGTGTAATTACATGTAATAAGTGTAGTGTAATGCAATTAGTGTAGTGTAATGTAGCGTAGTATATTTCTATTTGTAGTTGTAGCAGTAGTCTAGTCTAGTGTAGTGTAGTGTAGCGTAGTGTAGTGTAGTGGTAGTTGTAGTTGTAATTGTCTATCTATCTATCTAGCTATCTGTTTGTTTGTCTGTCTGTCTTTGTCTGTAAGCTTGAAAACGCGGCAATTCTGCGAGACTTCCCCAATTTGTGACCTTGACAACATCCAAAACGAAGCAATTCTGCGAGGCTTCCTCAAGTTTTGAACTTGACAACATCAAAAACGAAGCAATTCTGCGAGACTTCCTTCAAACATGGAAAGTTGAGTGCAGAGCTGACGGCCTCGTACCAATGCGTTTTGTGTTTTTTTCCACTCCACCTGTCTAAAGTACTGCGCCTGCCACGAAAAAGTGAAGCCAGGTCATACGAAGTGCTGTACCTGTCACGCAAAATCATCTTCCCAAACCTGAAGACCTCATGCGCCAAAATGCAACCTCTCTCAGGAAATCTCCGCCCTGACCTCCCAACATCTCTGATGAACATGTCTCTTGTATTGTGCATCTTTCCAGATCGTCTTCAAATGTCCCACACCTGCCATCGTTTACAAAACCCTGACGTTTTGCTCACTTTTGACAAGGTGCGCAATCCCTTGCGCCTGCCACGCGAAACGACATCTGAACGTCCAAAAGTGGCGCGATCATGTAGTGCTTTGTACATTTTGACTTCGAAATGTGCTTCGCGCCACAGCGGCGTACACTTTTTGAACATCTCAACTTCCAAAGGTGCTCCAAGGCTGAAGTGTTTTGTACATTTTGGCTTCGAAATGTGCTTCGTGCCACAACGGCGTGCACTTTCTCGACATCTCAACTTCCAAAAGTGCTGCGAACGTTAGGCGTTTTTAGCTTTTTCACTTGCAAATGTGCTTCGCGCCACAACGGCGTGCACTCTTTCGACATCTCAACTTCTAAAAGTGCTCTCCGAAGCTGTGGTGTTTTGTACATTTGGACTTCGAAACGTGCTTGGCGCCGCAACGGCGTGCAATTTTTCATCTCTCATCTGGCCAGATGGCTCCGCACCCGCCGCTTTAGCGAGCCTACTTTTCGACCCTCTGGAGCCACAAATCATTGGGAAAACACAGCGAATCGCGACTTTTCTACCTTTTCGCTCACCTGCATCTTCTTTCTTCTGACTTTCTTTTCTCTGATCTTCTTTCTTCTTCTCTTCTTTTCTCTTCTCTGACTCTTCCCATCTCTGCTTTTCATCTGTCCATAGTCCATATTGTCGGAAGTTTGACTTCTAAACTTCCTTCGATATCATTCAATTTATTTTTGGTGGTTGCGCGCCAAAATTGGAGGACTTGCGATCCACCTTTAAAATGATCTCGAACCCATCCTTGAGAACACACAGCTGCAAAGCTGCTTCGAGTTGTTGCAAATATGGAGAAACGCCGCTGCATATTGTTTAAAATGCACGAGAGGAAACCAAAGGACATATTTGAGCAGCACGATTAGCTTCGTCAAACCTATGTAGCCTTTAGCAGCCCTGGCACCCCTCTAAGGACCCAGTGGGCTACAGTGTGCCTTTGCAACTCACACATGGTTAGCCACTTTTATTTCACAACATCTAAGTTTGGGGGTGAGTCACTTTGGGTTCACCTGCGTTGGGCCACCAGGCCTGCAATGTTTCGCGCTGTCATGCCAAAGGTTTTGGCCAATACCGGAACAAAAGGCGCAAAAATGCCAAAGCCAAAGGCATCCTCACCACGAAGGTATCGGCTGGACGGATCCGGTGGGCATGTCCAAGAAAATGCACGGCAATAAGATCTGAGTGCAGTCAAAGACACCATGAAGACTATGAAGTAACAAGTGAAGAAAGAAGCCTCCGGCTGTCCACACAGGTTCGCTCGCTGGAATATAAAAAGCAATGTACAGAACTCTCTGGTGCAAGGAGGTTGGCAGTGTCAGACTTCCCAGGAGCTGGAAGAAAGAGATTGCAAAAACATCAAACACTCAGGTGACATTCAGGAATCGGTGTATCAGAACATCACCTTCTCAAATTTGCAACTGATGACAACATCGAGATAAACACCCCCAAAAAAGGCGTTGGCCTCGTCACTGTGATTCTGAGCGCCTGGTGGCAACATCCCCGAGCCACAAAATGTGGCGAAGGGTAGCTATAGAGAAGAAAACAAAATTTGAGGCCCAGCATCATCTTTTACATTTATCGTCCAGGTTTGGGGGCGCCCAATTCTGACCCAAACCCATGCATGGTTCAGACTTCAGAGCCCAAATCCGCCGGCCTGCCGGCATGTTTTGTGAAGGTTCTTGTTACAAATGCTGTGGTAGCTCTAGCGTCACCTATGGATTGCTCCCTCAACAGATTTTTACTTTCGCTGCCTCCCCACATAGATACTGTAATCTAAGATAGTCTCATAACCTCGAAAGGTCGTCTGGTCTAGTCTGGTCTGGTCTGGTCTAGTCTGGTCTGGTCTAGTCTGGTCTGGTCTAGTCTCTAGTCTGTCCACCACATTACCTTTGACTTTATTTACATCATCATAGAATCATATTCATAGCATCATCTTCATAACATCCTCATCATCCTCATCATCCTCATCCTCCTAATCCTCCTCCTGCTCCTCCTAGTCCTCCTCCTCCTCCTCCTCATCCTAATCCTCCTCCTCCTCCTCTTCTGTTCTCTTCCTTCATCCTCCTTCATCATCCTATCTCCGTATTGTCTTTCGTTGCTCCGGCTCGCCCCTGGAACGCTGCATTTTTCCACGTTTTCTCCACGGTTTACTACCTATTCCAGGCAGAGTACGTTCTAACCTGCTGCTTTTGCGCCCAACACCTTCCGCAAGCACCTGCAGCTCCTGCTCTTCCTCTGCACTCACGGCCTTCTCCGCATGCACTCTCACAGCCATGCCGCTTACTTAGATCTACCAACTAATGTTATGTCGCTCACTAATTACAGTGCCATCTCGTAAAGTCTCTTTACATCTTCATCGTCCAGGGCATTGTCCTCATCATCTTTATCTTCACAACTTTTACACAAACACTCTTTTACACCAACCACTTTCTGCCGAAACCAACTTTTGCACCATTTACACAAACGAACTTTTGCACAAACTCCCTTTTACACGCATCACCTTGTCCACTAACCCGCACTTATACCAACCAGCTTTTACACAAACCAGCTTCTACCCAAACCTGGTTTTACTCGAACCACCTGTTGCACCAACCAACTTTCACACCAACCAGCTCTTGTCTTTCTTTGCCCCGACCAGCCAAAAACAGCCGGGTGGCCGGCGGAATGCCGAAGGCTATTAATGTAGCATGCATTGGATCTTCAGCGCAACAGTCTCGGTATACCGGCACCAAGCCATGCTGCGGCCTTGTCCGGCTGAGTCCGCACTACTGCGCAAGAACCAAAGCGTGACAGCCACAGTGAGCCTGGGTAGCTGGTGCTTTTTAGCCTTTCACACACACACACGCTACAGTGCAAATCACTGGAACCACCGGAGGGTATAAATCTACAGTACACCTGGCCATGAATCAGTCTTCTCCTTCCTGCCATTCTGAATTCATCCAGAATGCAAGAGCACGATGAAAGCAAACTTGATGTCCATGTGGTTTTCAGACCACATATTGGAGATTCCATCATCAATCCTCAGCAAAAACGAGCCCCAGAGACCATGGTAGCACATCTCCAAGTGGACATGGATCCAGGGGAACCACTCAAGATGGCACTCGCACAAAGAAGCACACGCGCACACACACACATCCATACCAACATTGAAAAAAGTTTGGCATTCGTACTGTACATAAGCGTCAACCCACTGAAACAAACAACCAAGTGGGAAGGGACATCATCATCATGTTCCTAGAACAATCTCAAACGGTGACAATGTGGTCATTGTACCTCTTTCTCTCATTTTACCTGCTGATATCGTGCTTCAATTGGAGGTATCCCTACCTTTACTTGGAATACATTCGGATATATGCGTCTGAGTTTATGATGATACGCGCATCTGAGATTGGTAACATCCCCTCACTTGTTGATCGTCAAAGCATATGAAAATCACCGTGCATGCTAGTCCGTCTACAAACATGTGGTGTCACAGTGGTGTCAGAGTCTGCAGATGAAGGTCTCTTCCAAAAGGGTGTCGGGCAAGGTCCTGGCAATGTGGTGCTCAGGATCTCTAAGGAAAAATCCTGACAAATCCACAGGGTCAGCGTCTGACAATTTCCATCAATTTCCTATTTATATTAGAACATATTCGACCATCCATTTCCTCAGGCTGCAGGACTTGTCAAATCCTCAACCCTTCAGCCCAGTCCGTGGCTCAAGGCTAAAGTTCTCTAGACTCTTTGTCCTCGGCTCCGCTGCCCCAGCCAACAGAAACTCTCGTCCCAGGGACAGGGAATCCAAAGGCAGAAACCAACGTTGGGACGAGACGCGTGTTCAACTGCAGGCCCACCTGAAGCAGCAACATATTACCTTGGTATGATTCGGTATGATGGTCATGTCATCCAAACGGTTTTCTAGGGTCCACATGGACGGCCCTTCTTGCGGGGGCAATCTTGCTGGGTTTTGGAGCCCGTTTTTCGAAAAAGACCCTTTGGTCTTCAGGTGTATTCACAGAGCATCCAACGACTTCCGGCCCGATTCCAGTTGCCTCATCATTTTTGGGGATATGTGACTATCTTTGTTACAGCTGTTTCCGAGGAGAAAGTTTTTTGTTCAGATTTTAATTATGCTTCCTCGAGAGCTTTGCAGCTTTTGTGAGCGCAACTGAGGAGCCATCATTGTCTGCATCATCATCGCAGTCCGCACAGCTATCTGCAAACACGTTCAGAAAGTTCACCTCAACACCCACGCGTTGGTTTCCAAAAAGCGCCTTGCGCATCCTCCTTTTGAAGGATGAAGTGGTGAATGTATAATAAATTGAAGCGGCCATAATTTCAGATCGTCTACCTAGATCTGCGAGAACCCCCTTGGTATCCGATGTATAGTACTAGTTACATCTAGTTACAATATGTTACAATATTTTACAATTACGATCAATTACATTCTTCAAGGCCAAGGCCAAGAAAGGCTTGCCACCTTTGGGGCCTTGTTAAGGTATTGATGCGTGGCCAATATGCGCACAGGTCAAAAGGGCGAAGGACAAACACGTGTGGTTTCCAAGCTCTTAAACAAACCACTAAATTTGAGCATCAACATTTTCTGCCATGTACACTGACAGTAACTGACCCATATGATTCCACACGTCCTGTATGTCTATTTCAGTGCTGTTCTGTTGGGCTGGAAGATTCAGCAAAAAGTCGCATGATGCTGTGATAATCTATGCCAGGCAGCTGCTGTTGACAAAATAGCTGACCAGTACAACAGCGCTTTGGCATGCGGCATTGCTCGGACACAAAGCGACGAGCAACTGGATAGGTATGCAGGAAGACAGCCACTATGCTTGAACATGTAAATGCACTTGCAAATGCAGGTCGTTTGTGCTATATACAGTACGCTTTCCAACTTTGAGATTTCTTGTTCCTAGCTATCTGACTCTGAACAAGCACTAAAATTCATTCGGTTCGGTCGGTTCGGTCCCAGGCTGTTGGCTAGAGGTGTAGCCTTGAGCCTATCAGACAACGGCACATTGCCTTGCAAATGCAGCAAAGACTGCATTGAAAAACACAATCTTCTGTGCAACATCAATCAACATGATTTATCGCTGCTTGGGTTTGCGTTCTCTTGTCCTGATTACATCGGACCACATGAGATACAGCACCCTATTTCTTTCTCCATGCATCTCCAGCGTTGGTGTTGCAAAGCGTGAGCCACCTGCAAGGTCACAAGAAAAGTGTATCAAACTCTTGGAACTAGTTGAATATAGTTAAACAGTTGAACATTGTTGGTCGACTGGCCAAGTGGATCCAAGTGGGATATGTTTCCCACTGATGGGATGATTGTGCCGGCCAATTACATACCAAGGGAGAGTATTACATGTTTCAGTACATTTGAATGCATTTGATGCATTCTGCATTTTGCATCTTTAGCCTCTTGTTCAAAGCTGCAACATTGTCCTTGGAGCCCTTTGTTGGGGAACCCGGTATAGAACCTGATTGTTGGAAACTCATGGAAATTAGATGAAATTAGTGCTTGCTGGGGATCTGATTCTGGGGAACCTTGCCCTTGGGAAAATTCTGTTAGCATTGTAAGCTGGTGTTCAGCGTCGTGTGGAAAACCTTTTGCAGCGTTGTTGCTTCCCCCTTTTGAGACCCTGCCCTGGGAGGTTGTTCAAAGCACGCAAATGCTTCCCATTCTCAGCATCATATGCAATTTTCACGGCAAGGCATACTCTTGGCCGCACCCTGCTTCATGTTTGTTCTGAAATGCGGCTCAAACGGCAGATGCTCTTCGCGCTTCAATGACTTTTGGCCTCTCTTTGAAGGTATGACATGATCTGAAATGATATGATTTGGTTTGGCGCTAGATATCGCATCATCTTCAAAACTTCGAAGACATCTACGTATACAAACAAAGGTAGCATAGCTTAATTCTGATTTGCAAACGATCCTTGGTCCAATGGTCACAACTGGTTGTGAAGAATACTTGAACTTCAAGGGCTTTGGTTGAGAAAACATGGGAGACAGGCCTCGCGCTTCAAAGATCGCCATAGTGCTTCAAACATCGTCGCCCTGAAAATTCAACTAAGCCACACAGTGGCAAATTGTCAGCGTGAGACCATCTCACAATACGAGTATATAAGGTATGGGCCGTATCGGTAAAATAATCAATAATGTAAGCTGTCTGTCTTGGACACGTTAGCTGGTTACCGTTGAACCCAAAAAAGTTTGCACCATTTGGTAAGTTATCTGTTTGTGTGGAGCAATCCTTCGAGGAACACCGCCTAAGCAGCAAAACAGCATTGCAGGATATTTTTTCATGGTATTTCAATTCAAGGTGTTTTAAGTTCAGCTAATTTGATGTCCCAGACTGACCCTCTTGCAGCACAGTGCGCAAACCCTGGGCCTGGTGCATTGCAGCGGCAGCGAAGTGGAGAGGCTCCATTGCCTTCTCAACCAAGTCTGAAAAAAGATGACGCCAATGCCTCAGTTGGTGACTCATCATGATCTGCGGAAAGCCAAGAAGGCACGGCAGCTGGAAGACAAACAGACCCAATCTCTATCATTGATGCTTTCGTTTGCGCCCGGGCTCCATAGAGTGGTCAGAATTTGCTTTGAATGGCCGTTCAGCATTCTAAGATATTCATAGATTCCTTAGATTCCACGTTTGTATCTGTTCTATTCTATTGTTTACTCTTGGTTTCTTTTGATTCTTCGATCCTGGCCATCAATGTGCAAACCTTTCAATGGTGGGAATTTCGATTCCCAAAGGAAAATCGCATCTTCCTTCTTCTGAGTCTCAGGGCCCCAAGGCCCGGCATTGTATGCTTCCTGCGAATACTTTGAAGGTCCTTGCAGCAGGGTTGCCTGGTGGTTTTCTTTTTGCTAGCGCGAGAAGGCTTCATCACCATGTCACCTGCAAGTCTGCAAGTTTGGCGAGGTTTAGGTTGGGTCATTCATTTTGACAATGGTTTCACGTAGTCCGATGAACCGGTTTGATGGACTTGGAGGGTCCACCTGCACTTGTGGAAAAACCGTGTCCGCGTCTGTACAAGGCCATTTACACCTTCCAACTGAAGGTGGTCCGAAGCTACAAGGAGGAGTATGAGGATGAGAATAATGAGAGCATGACGATGGTGACACTGTACAAACCTATACAAAGTTCAAACACACAAATTGAAGTTGTTTCCTTTCCAACAAACACATTGCACTTTGCCATTCCACTTTGCACTTTGCAGGACTTTGCAATTTTCCTGTCTTTGCCTGCAGATTTGCCGATTGGTAGTGCAGAGTCGGCGAATCTGATCGAATCTCAACCTCCGGCAGTTCTCCTCAGAGCTTGAACTAATGCGTAAGCCGATGCATTCCTTGGCGCAAAAGATGGCCGTTGCGTTCAGCAGTGTTTTGCGCCATGTCGCATTTCAAGTTGCTCGCAAGGTCTGAACGCCCGCAACCCCGGTATATATATATATATATTTTGTCATTGCTTGATATCTTTAGCATGAAAACATATGAAAACAATGATGAAAATAATCTAAAGTCGAACCAACCCCAATCGTGACAGTTTCTCACTAGCCTCACAATTGCCTGCTGAATGTCCCTGTAGGGTGGAGCGCCCGGGTAGACCGATACACCCGTAGAATCCTTGCTGTCGCCAAGTTTGGCAACCCCATTTAACCAGTATTGTTGCTCAATTGGCACTCTGACAACTCTTAACAGTCTTGCGACTCTTAACACTCTTACGACTCTTATGTGTCTTACGGCTCTTGCCAATCTTACCACTCTGACGACTTTTACCACTCTTGCCATTTTTATGGGCAAGTCCTCGTTTTGTTGTTTTGGCATGGTACCATCTCCGCCATGACGCCGAGTAGCTTTTCCGCATCCAGCAGAAAGGGTAACACTGCTACGCAGGCACTGCAGGCCTCTGCCTGCAGCAAATTGGGGGAACTTTGTGAATTGAATAAATAAATCCAAATTCGTCAGTGGGGCTAGAGCGGCTGGAGGACAGGAAGGCACCCCACACGTAGTCAATGATGAATCTACATGCTCTGTATGCGACTCTTCTGTAAATTCACAGATCGCCAGTTTGGATGGGACGCAGGGATCGTTTTAGAACAAAGTTTTTTCATACTGTCGCTGGTGGTTTGCTTTAGTAGTTTGCTATGCTGTGAAATCAACATTGTTTATGGTTTTATATTTTACATACATAGATATTGAATTATATATGCATGGGTACATTTCTCAGAAAGTAACAAATAGATCGATTAACAAATAGAAAAATGGAGAGATAGGGAGATGGTGAGATAGACATACACATATACAGATAGGGAGATAGATTAGATACATTGAGAGATAGACAAATAGAGCAAGATAGAAAGAAAAAAGAAAGAAACATAGATAGATAGATAGATAGATAGATAGATAGATAGATAGATAGATAGATAGATCGATCGATCGATCGATAGATCGATAGATCGATAGATCGATAGATCGATAGATCGATGGATCGATAGATCGATGGATCGATACATAGATCGATAAATCGATAGATCGATAGATCGATAGATAGCTGGATAGATAGATAGATAGACAGATAGATAGATAGATAGATAGCTGGATAGCTGGATAGGGAGATAGACAGATAGATAGTTGATGGGTTGATGGGTAGATGGGTGGATGGATGGATGAATGGATAGATGGATAGATTGCAGTAGAGAGATAGAGAAATAGAGAAATCAACAAACAATAGATAGGGATATATATATATAAATATATATATATAAATAATAAGGGGATTCAAAGATTGAGAAATAGAGAGATAGAGGGATAGAGAGGTAGAGAGATAGACACAGTTTGGGAGGTAGACAGACAAATGCATAGATAGATAGAGAGGGATAGATCAAAAAAATAGAGATATGTAGACCAACAAACATGGACATATAGACAGAGGCAGCATTTCATGCGCCCCAGGAATCATCTTGGAAAGTCAGATTTTGCAAACAACAATTACAATAGCTGACTTTAGAAAAAGTCATACTTATAAAAAAAATCATACTTATATGTATGTGTGTGTATGTATATATATATATATATATATATGGTACCCCCTTTTCTTAACATTTTGGACTCTACAACTTATGGCATTTTCTGGTGATCAAAAATTGCATTTTTCCAAGTCTTGTGAGAAACTTGGATCTTGGATCTTGGATTTTGCAAAGAAGGCATTCAGAATGCATTCTTCCCCAAATCTAAGATCCACGATTCAAGATTCAAAATCCCAAAAAGACTTCTTGAATCCAAGGGGGTAGGATTCAAGATTCAAGGTTCAAGGCTCAGAAAAAACTTCTTACATCCAAGGAGGTAGGATTCAAGATTCAAGATTCAAGATTCACGGCTCAGAAAAAACTTCTTGGATCCAAGGAGGTAGGATTCAACATTCAAGATTCCAAAAAGAATTCTTGAATCCAAGGGTGTAGGATTCAAGATCCAAGATTCAATTCTCAGAAAAAAAACTTCTTGAACCCAAGGGGGTGGGATTTTAAATTCAAGATTCAAGATTCACGGCTCAGAAAAAACTTCTTGAATCCAAGGAGGTAGGATTCAAGATTCCAAAAGAATTCTTGAATCCAAGGGGGTAGGATTCAAGGCTCAGACTAGACGACGGATGGCCCGAGAGCGTAGAGGAGCAGAGTCTTCTGTTGTTAGTATGGAGACACTATATTACAAGACAATATATTAAAGATGTATTATAGGCAGGCGAGACAATATATCACAAACACAATACAATAGTTTGCATCGTATCTTTCGTGCAGTTTCTTCACACACAGAACTTTTCACAGACAGACGTTTTTGCACACAGAGACTTTTGCACACAGAGACTTTTACACACAGACGCTTTTACACACAGACGCTTTTACACACAGACGCTTTTACGCACGGAAGTTTTTACACACAGACACTTTTACACACAAACACTTTTACACACAAACACTTTTACACACAGACGCTTTTACACACAGAAGCTTTTACACGCAGACGCTTTTACACACAGAAGCTTTTACACACAAACGCTTTTACACACAAACACGTTTACGCACAGAGACCGGACCCGTGAAATCGCAATTTTACCTCAGTTTTGGGCGATCAAATCTCGTTTCGTGCGAAAATGTTCGCCGGACAACTTGCAAATCGCAATTTTACCTCAGTTTTTGGCGATCAAACCTCATTTCGTGCGAAAGGGTTGCGCCGGACAAGAGAAATTGGAATTTTACCTCAGCTTTTGGCGATCAAACCTCATTTCGTGCGAAAAGGTTGCGCCGGACAAGAGAAATCGCAATTTTACCTCAGTTTTTGCCGAACTTCATTTCGTGCGAAAGGGTTGCGATTGGACACCAGAAATCGCAATTTTACCACAGTTCTTGGCGATCGAACCTCATTTCGTGCGAAAGGGTTGCGTTTCGCGCCGTCTGGTTGGCACTGCCCCGCGCCTTCAAGAGAGAAATAGAAAAGAAGGAGAGAGCAAGAGGGCAAGAAGAGGACAAGAGAGCAAGAGGGCAAGAGAGCAAGAGGGCAAGAGAGAATGTGAAGATGTGAAGATGAGAAGATGTCAAGATGTGAGGATGTGAAGATGTGAGGATGTGATGATGAGAAGATGCGAAGATGTGAGGATGTGAGGATGAGAAGATGTGAAGATGTGAATCTTGACTCCTACCTCCTTGGATTCAAGAAGTTTTTTCTGAGCCTTGAATCTTGAATCTTGAATCCTACCTCCTTGGATTCAAGAATTCTTTTTGGAATCTTGAATGTTGAATCCTACCTCCTTGGATCCAAGAAGTTTTTTCTGAGCCTTGAATCTTGAATCTTGAATCCTACCCCCTTGGATTCAAGAATTCTTTTTGGAATCTTGAATCTTGAGTCCTACCCCGTTGGATTCAAGAAGTTTTTTCTGAGCCTTGAATCTTGAATCTTGAATCCTACCTCCTTGGGTTCAAGAATTCTTTTTGGAATCTTGAGTCTTGAATCCTACCTCCTTGGATTCAAGAAGTTTTTTCTGAGCCTTGGACCTTGAATCTTGAATCCTACCGCCTTGGATTCAAGAAGTTTTTTCTGAGCCTTGAACCTTGAATCTTGAATCCAAATACTTAGAATAATATTAGTCACCAGAAATTGCAATTTCTTGCAAATGATCGGCCTGTCTGCCAAGGACATTCCTCAAATAAACTTGCTTACCCTGTAAAAGAAAATTCTACAGCACATTATTTTGTCTTTGCTTTCCTAGCAAATCAATAAACTTTGGTAACTAGATTCATCATCACCGAAGGAAGTTTAGAAGTCAAACTTCCGACAATATGGACAGATGAAAAGCAGAGATGGGAAGAGTCAGAGAGAAGAGAAGAGTAGAAGAGAGAAGAGTAGAAGAGAGAAAATCAGAGAAGAGAAAGAGTCAGAAGAAAGAAGATGCAGGTGCGCGAAAAGGTAGGAAAGTCGCGAAACACTGTGTTTTTCCAATGCTTTGTGGCTCCGGAGCAGGTCCGGACGACTTGTGGAAGTTGAGATGTCGAAAAAGTGCACGCCATTGTGGCGCGAAGCACATTTGCAAGTGAAACAGCTAAAAGCACCTCACGATCGGAACACTTTTGGAAGTTGAGATGTCGAAAAAGTGCACGCCCTTGTGGCGCGAAGCACCTTTCGAAGTCAAAAGTGCAAAAAACTGAGGGGTACGGGGCACTTTTGGACGTTCAGATGTCGTCTTGCGTGGCAGGCACAAGGGATTGTGCAAGTTGTCAAAAGTGAGCAAAACGTAAGGGTTTGTAGCATTTCCAACATAGATGGCAGGCGTGGGAGATTTGAAGAGGATCTGCAAAGGTGCACATTCCACGTGGCAGGCGCAGCCCGGCCTTAAACCCCTTAAACCCCTCAAACGCTCCGCAGAGCCCCCCAGGCAAGCGTTACGTCCAGCAGCAGCCAGGGCCACAGCCCCTTCAATGCAACAAATTCCAGCGGTTGGCACGCCCAACTGTTTTTAAGGATCTTCAAAGCCTACCGTTTGCCCGCCCTTAAACCTTCTAAACCCGCTAAACCTTCCCAGCAGCAGCCAGGACAGGCCACGTCCAACTGTTTTTAAGGGTTTTCAAGGGTGCCATTTGCCCGGCCTTAAACACCTCAAACGCTCCGCATGGCCCCCCAGGCAAGCCTTACGTCCAGCAGCAGCCAGGGCCACAGCCCCTTCAATGCAACAAATTCCAGCGGTTGGCACGCCCAACTGTTTTTCAGGGTCTTCGAGCCTACCGTTTGCCCGCCCTTAAAGCTTCTAAACCCTCTAAACCCTCCCAGCAGCAGCCAGGACAGGCCACGTCCAACTATTTTTAAGGGAGTTCAAGGCTGCCGTTTGCCCGGCCTTAAACCCCGTAAACCCGGAATCAGACCCTTATTCTCCATTCCCGCCATTGCCACCATACGGTCAATTCCCCTACTGTGGGAAGCTGACTGATCATCATCATCATCATCATCATCATCATCATCGTCATCATCGTCATCATCGTCATCGTCATCGTCATCGTCATCATCATCATCATCATCATCATCATCATCAAAATCATCACCATAGTCATCATCATCATGCCCATCATCATCATCATCATCATCATCACCATCATCATCATCATTATCATGACCATCATCATCATCACCACCACCATCATCATCATCATCCTCATCATCCTCATCAGTCATCATCATCGTCGTCATCATCATCGTGGTCATTATAATGATCATCCTCCTCTTCATCGCCATGATCATCTCCCTCATCATCATCATCGTCATCCTCATCATCATCATCATCATCATCATCACCATCATCAACCAAATGCAACGCACCGACCACCTCCGCCAACCCCCAGAATGAGGGGTCGGCGGCACCCGGGCGCTAGCCCGTTCTATTACAAGATCATCTACAGCATACAAATTTTAAAAATGAATCATTACAAAAAATGGTAGATGCTGAAGAAAAAGCTAATGGAAATAACGTAGGTTGACAAGAACAAAAAAACAACTAACATCAAATGAGAATATGATTGATTATTGTCAATTTACTATGCAAAGCTTGATGGAATGTTATGTAATTGTAGGAGGATTAAAAAAGTAATTGCATTGTAAAAAAAGTAAAATCTCAAGATGCACTACCCATATCACCTAATTTTGCACAAAGCTCAGCTTTGGTAGAAGCTAAAAGGTTTCAAATTGCTACAGAAAATTTAGTAAACATGAATTCCACCAGTAGTCATTATAAACAACTACCTTACACAAAGCTGTATTCATCAAAAAAATAAAAATAATATGCTATACTCTGTTGTAAAAACAGATAACAAAGTTTCAATCCATCTATTCTCCTAATCATGTTGCTGCAAATCCTGAAGGTTATGTAAAAATACGAAATGGTGTAGAACATATTGAAACAGCAGACTTGCAAGAATCAGATCATAGATATAAAAATTCATGTTGATAAAAATGTCTGAAACATAAAAAGAATACATTAAATATAATGAAATAAATATGTCAAATATAGATGTTACAGCGCTATGCTGCAGCTAAATATGTGAGCAGGATGTGTCCAGCTACAATAGGTGGTAAGATAAGAGGCAAAACCAGGCATTCAGGAACATATCTGCTACACAAAAGGTAGGTCTTGGGGGGGTTGCATATATAGAAAATCAGTCGGCTTTTGCAAAGAAAACAATTATATACACCTTTCTTCTTGAACAAATGTGAACACGTGTTGATTTCAAATCAGAAAAAAAACGCAGATTGGCAAGCCCCCACAGCAAACCACCAATGAATCAGTGCTTGACTTTTGGAAAAAATTACTGCATCTGCAGCCGAATTGCACAGGACCCAGCTGGTTCTGGATCCAGAATGCAACGCCAGTTGGTGAGTCCGAGCGCATCCACCTTTCGAATCAAGCCGCTTTCTGTGTTGAAGGTGTGCACGTAAACCGAACCCTCCTGAAGCTGAAGGCAGTTAAGCTGAGATTTCTGACGAAGTAATCAAGTTGATTACAAAGGAGTCGATGCAATTATCAAGCAATAAACTCAACGAACATAAAAGAAACAATGAATAGAGAGACATCAGATAAAATAATCGAAGCATCCCCTGCAGAGAAAAGCAGCCAGACAAGTAAAAACATAATCCAACGCATTCAAAATTAGTGCAACATCCCTGGCACTCCTTGCAGTAGCTGAGAAGGCCACCTCCTCCCGGCAGCCGAATCATGCTAATACGATCCTGCGAACTCAGCTGCTTCTGCTTGATGCTTAATCGGTTTAATTCGGCTTAATACGTTGCTTCATGAGTTTTCATGGGTTCATTGTTGATTTCTTGATGGAGGCCCTCGTCCTACAAAATCTGTTGATATTCTTTAGGGAACATAATGCAAGCCCACTCAAAACGTGACACCTGGTCTACCACAAAACGAAATTGCAAGCAATTGACGCCAATTAACATTAG